TATTTTTTCTTCTTCTTCTTCTTCTTCTTCTTCTTTTTTTTTGGTTCTAAGGGTTGAACTCATGTGAGGCTTCATATATGTGAGGCAAACACTCTACCCTCAGCTACATGCCAAGCCTACCTCATATTCCTTCGGTCAGGAAATTCCATGGCTTTGTTTTTGACATATATACATAATTCATTTCTTCTCAACACCTCCACTGCTGTCACCTTGTGCTATTAACTATATTCAGGACTTCATGATCCAGACAACATTGCTGAAAATTGTTTTGCATTAAGGAACACCAGGCTTAGAAGTGTAGAATATAAAAGATGGAAGAACTGGTTATTCTTCATGGAAGCAAAGTCTCAATGCTTTTTTTGATATGCTTTATACATCTGACAGATTTCTGGACACATTCACTATAAAGTACAAACTTTCTTCAGTTCCAATTTTTGAAATGTTTCATCCTTTAAGAAGAAAGAAATCATTTGATTTTTAAAATGACAGCAGCATCTCATTGCTTTCTGTAACCGGCTAAATCCTGAAATGTTCTGGATATATTTATGGTCAAGGTAAATGCTGATATCTGTGGATTTTGATGAAATTCACTTCTCATTTCACCATATTAACACCTTTGACAGTTAGAATAAGAAATTGAGTAATAAATCTTAACAAATATCAATTCACAGTACTTTTATGCACTCTTGGTATATACCTCCCAGCTATCTGGATCATTTTTGATCAGAGTAATAACTTTAGGTTAAATGTGAGACACTGAAAAAAATTTTAATTACAGAGAAGGCTGCCTTAGATTTCACTATCAATTTGATCTCCTATGAAGATGAAAGTAAAAAGCAAAATTAGTAGACCAGGAAGAGATTATTTCAGGTCAAACTTTCTGCATAGTTGATAACATGATTTTTTACATTGAACTGTATCTTGAGATTTTCTTTGCTACTGAAACATATGTATTTTCTAGTTACAGGTTTTGATTAAATTCTTCTTCCCAACTCTATTCTTCTGGAGATGCTTGTTTGATTTTTTTTTTTTTTAAGAGATGCTTGTTTGAAATAAATATTCTAGGAAAAAAATTCTTGCTGTTTCTTAACTTTTTCACCAAGCTTTCTTCATGGTATAGTTTTAAGTAAATGCATTTGCAAATAATTGCTCTAACATCTTGCACACTGAAACACCCCATACCAACCCTAATTATCTCTTGGAATATTGATAAATTGGTGATTTCAGTTTGTTTCCAATGATGATACTGAACAATTTTTGTCTCTTCTCCAAAGAGATCCATTAAAGAAAAAAATGTCTTGAATCTTCTGAAATAAAACACCATTTAGGCAACTTTTAAAAATAAAAATGAGTAAATAAAAGTGAAGTAGGGAACGTTATAATAATTTGGAAAATGATTTTGAAAGAATAATTAAAGATAGAGAAAAGTGACTCTTAAGCATATCAACTAAGATTGCTCATTTTTAAATACTATATGCATTAAGCATGTACATTGAAGGACTCCCAGAGAAGGCAAGGATTACAATCTTATTTCCTATGTTTATGAACACAGTGGCTATTCTACTTACTCAGCTTTGAATGCAACACCACAATTTCACTTGGGATCTCCTTCTCCATCTCAAGAACATCTTTTGGGGACCTGCTTGGAATCAGGGACAAAGCAATTGCTCAGCCAGTTTTGGTATTGCTACAAAATAGGTGATAGTAATTTCCCAGATATTCAGGTAAAGTGGAAGTTAGTATTTCTGAAAGAGGCTTTCCATAGCTACTCTCAGCCCATATTTTAAAGCATCAAAGGTGCAGGTCCTGATGAAGCCCTGGCACACATTACTCATATACATGATGGTGGGGTGGACCTGGGGCTGACTATTTCATAGTGGTAAGTGTGGTATTTCTGGAGCTTCATTATCTGAGCCCTAATTGTGCAACCTTGGATACATGAGATAACTTCTTTGTTTCTGAATTTCCTTATTTGTAATATGGAACTAATAATAGTGATAATTGTGATAATACCTGCCTGTAAGATTGTTGAGAGGATTATATTAGTACCCTCAAATAAATGGTGGCCATTATTGAGATGAGGGGTTCCAATTTTAGTGACAAAAAATTTAAATAAAGATATAAGCCAGATTATCTATTACAAAATAAAATGAGACCATTTGAAGTTTTAGTCCCCAGAGCTCTGAAGAATACTAGATGGAAGAAATTTTTATCAACACTTAAAGAAAGTATATTGTGAGAAGGGACCCTGCTGATAAGAAACAGATGCTAAAGACCTTAGTGGAGAAGACTCGGTGTTTTCACTGGAAAGGTAGACTCTGAATCATAAAGTACAGCAAAATTAGCTTTGCATAAGCTTATGTAACACCCATGTTTTTTGATCATGTGCTTTGTTTGCTTCTGAGTTTCAGTGATGAAATTGTCTGAGAACTAAAGCAGGAAGACTTCTGCTTTCTCTGTTTTAGTTCTTAGAGAATGTCATCACCGAAACACAGAAACAGATAAAGTGGGTGAACAATGTTTTTCATTTCCATGAACCATCAAATAAGTAGATGACATTCTGTTGAATTTGTGCTCATTAAAAATATGTACCTAAAAGAGACTGGCGTATTTGTTACAAAATGTAACATTGTTCACAGATATAAAATCAGCATATTGTTATGTCTTTTTAAAATATCATTGCCAGTAATTAAAAACTCCAAGCCCTTGGCTAAACTCCATGAGTTTCCCTAAATACTCAGTTTCTAGGTTACTCTCACCTCACTATCCTAAAAAGTATGTGCTCAAGGAAAACAAACTGTAGTTCAGTTTGGTTCAATTTAGTTCAGTTCAAAAGATAAGCATCTATTATGTGCAAAGAACAGTACCAGATGGTAGCACTAAGAAGACAGTGTAGGGAAAGAAATAAAGAGGCAAACACAATCATTAGCAATTATTTGGTCAGAGCTGACTATATTCAAGAAACAGTATATAATATGGCATTCTTGGTATTATAACAATAGATTGTATCTGATGGCCAATGGGATGGATTATGAAGGATGAGAAAGGAAAACCTCAAAATAAAATGATATTTAAAGAGAGTTCTGAAGGAGATGAGAGAGGGAGCTTGACAGACCTTGCAAAAGAGATTTTCAGGCTGAAGGAAAAGGAAATGCAAGGACCCTTCAGTGAGATCCTGGTTCCTGTGCAGGCTGAGCAGTGATCAGGGGAAAGTGATGATCAGGGATTTGATGGAGGGAGGGTCTTATAGGCCACAGCCTGTAAGAGGTTGGCTTTGGTTCTGAATGAGAGAGTTGCTAGTAGAGGCTTTTACTCCAAGGGACAGAGAAAAGACTGCCCAGGTCAGAGGGCTTAGAGACTAGTAAGGAGGAATGGTGAAATTCCAGGACAATGGCTTGGACCAGGACAGCTATAGTGGAGGTAGTGAAAATTTTAAGACTCTTGAGTATATTTTGAAGGTTGAGCTAACAGAATTATTTAGGATGTAGGGTTATCAGAAAAAGAAGGGATTAAGAGTGACTCCAAGATTATTGGCTAATAAATGGAAGAATGGAGTTTTGCTATGAAGGGAAAGACGTAGAAGGTGGAGGCGGGGAGCATGTAGGATCAAGAGAACTTTTTGACAGATGGTATTTAGCATGTTTCTGTATTTATAAAAATGGAGGAGAAAAAATTAAAGATGTTAGAGAAAAAGGAAATAATTGCAGTAAGGATGTCTTGAATAGAACTTAAGGTAATGAATCCAGAAAAAAAAGAGGTGTTGATTTAAAATAAGAGCATAGGTAATTCAATTAGAATGACAGAAGGGAAGACAAAATATGTGTAGGTGAGGTAGAATATAACATATGAAGACAGATACAAGTGCAGGTAGGTTGGTGGATTTCATGGTGGAAACTTGTAGAAGTTTATTTTCTGATGGTTTCTAATTTCTTAATAACGTGAAAAGCAAGTCCATTATCTGAGCAAGAAGAAAATGAAAGTGGTATTAGAGATTTGAATACAAATAAAAAGAATAAAATTGTCACTGAGGACCATAGGCAGTGTAATAAAAGGCAATATGACTGGATTGCTAGAAACATCTTTGAATTCACTTGTTATCTGTGGTCGAAAAGTTACAATTAGACCAGTCACTATACCTGTGTTTTTGTCCAACCACACCAAGGTACAGGGGATGTGGAGAACTTGGATTTTTCCAGTGTTGGGATTTTGCTAGATGTTGACAAGGGAAGGTGAGAGGGATAAGAGAATATGGTATCTGCAGAAGAGTGATTAAGGTCTTGGGCCATGGCACTCTCTAGGTGGACATGGTGACGGGAAGTGAAACCTTGAGGAGGTGAATTTTGGTTTAAAGGTATTCCATGAAGTATCAGTCAAAGTGGACTCAGAGAATTCCTAAAGGATTAGTAGAGATAGTGGTATGCTTGAAATTGACATCACGAAGGGCTGAAGATGATGTTAAGGCCTTTGTATAACCAGGGAAGAGTGACTGAAAAGAGTTGAAGAACAAAGTATTTTGAGGAGGAACATTAGGACAAGGGAGTCCAAGGTACAGAGGACTGTCTGCCTCAGTCTTCCAATCCTGACTGCACATTCAAATTGTCTGAAGAGGTTTTTAAAAATACCAAAGGCCAGGTTCCATCTCAGACGAATTAAACTACTTTCTAAATGTGGAACCTATGCACTGGTATTTAAAAAACTTCTTATGAGGTTCTATACAGGCAAGTTTGAGACCCATGGATAGACATATATGGACATAATTATAGGAAATAATTATGGAGGAAAAGAAAATGAGCCAGGAGATAAAACCTTTGAAGATTCAGGTGGAGGAAGTGGTGACCCGGATGTCTGCTGTGTACCTTTGTGAAATAGCAACATACAGATATGAAGCATTTTGATTCAGTTTTACAAGAAGACTTAAAAAGCATTTCAATTCCAAGGCATTTGAAAATACCCAGATTTTGAAATGTAAAAAACAGCCAATCTTCTCGTTTCTGTTTTAGAGAATCTTCCTGGTGCTTTTGTACTTTCAGAAGGATAATCCATAATAGTCCTGCATTGTACTGAATTCTGCACTGTGGCATATAGAATAAAACTGGCTTGTAGCACCAAAGTTTTCTATAAAATATTGAATGAAGAAAAGAACAGTAAAAATCAAAGTAAGTACATATTTCTAATGGAGGATTTAAATGTTCTGGAAGGTTCTTGTTTCTAAAAACAAGCAAATAAACAGAATCTTTTACATTGGAAACAAATCCAACAGTTAATGCACACCCCAAGTATCCTAGATATTCTTCTTTAATTATTCAGAAAGCTTTGCTTGTGTTATAGTCTGCTGGGGCAGAAATCTTCTATAACTTTTATGTTAAAAGATGCAAAAGCTTTTACTGGGTTAAAATTGAAATTATATTTTGCTCTTGCATTCTCTCTTGAATAACTTTTGCAATTCTTAGCAAAGCCTAGTGTTTATTTCAGACCTGTTCATAAATTACCATTCTGAGTACTTTTTCCCAAGGGTGGACTTCCATCATTTGTTGAAAAGATAGAGTATAACCCTATCTCAGTTCTCATCAGGGTTAGGCATTATTATTGCGTGTACATTTTTCAAGGTTGTTGATCTAAATCATGAATCTTTTTAAAAGGTCACGGAAGTAAATTTTTGATATATACAGATAAAACTGTGGTTGGCAGAGATTATTTCATTTGAGAAGCCTGAAAAGAATGACATAGTCCTATTTTTTCTTCACAGCCTGGGGAAATTGGAAGATGGCCCTGCTGTGGTGTCCCATTCTTCCTGCTAAGGACAATACCGGAAGAGTCAGCTCCATGAACAGACAGGAAGGCAGAACACTATACCAGTAATGTCTCTGTCACATTTCCTGAGAGCTACATTTGTAGGTCTAATAAATTTGGGGTTTTCATTTTTTATTCTTTGAATGCTCCTACTTAAAATGTCAGTAACACTAGGAATCTATGTCATATAACTTTGAAGTGCTGAGTACTTCATTTAGCTAAGTGGAAAGATGTACAGAAGAAAGATCCAATCTCTTTTTGGTAGGAGGTCAGAGTGGATGGGTGATGCAGGAGGCTGGAAGACGGAAGAAAATCAAATAGGAGCACAGAAGATGAATAGTGTCAGCCCTGTAATTATATAATAGTTTCTTCTTTAGCCAAACCTACCCATTGGTCCAGTGGAAGTAGGAGGAAAGAGGAGGATGCAGGGGACCATATTTACTTATTAATTTGTGTGTGTGTGTGTTTGAGTGTGGGTGGTGGTATGGGGCCATGAGTTCATATAATAAACAAATTTCTACAAAGGAATGTTTGATATAAGATCTCAGTGAATCATCAAGAATTGAAATTAGTTTCTTTTTAATAAAATGTCAAATGTAGGTGAAATTACCAAAGATGGAATGTTATAAGAATCTGAAACCTTTTTCAAAATCAATCTTTAATAAAATAGAATGTGGATAATGAATAAGGACTTCTCATTAGAAGCTATTTAACAATGAGACATCACAAAAGGTTGATAATAAAACTTTCCTGATAGTCATACTTCTGGAATTTGACTTTATTTAGTCACACTGTAGTGAGGTAAAAGAAAGAAAAATAAAGAAACAATGAGATCTTTTGACCTTAGTTCTAATTTAGTTGATTCACATTTGCAGAAATGCATCCTTGTGTCTACATTATTGTGATGGAAACACCACTCATTATTTTCATGTGTATTTGAGATTCTGGCATTAGTTTATTTCTTCAGAGTAAAATTTTAATCATGAATTATGAGTATGATATTTCAAAATAAAAAAAAAACTAGGACTTGATTTTACACATGTATATATTCATATGTATAATGCTACCCATATATATGTATATATATTATATATATATTCATGTGTATACATACTACATGTACATTTACTTAAACATAATATAAATATATGCCTATATATATGCATATATGCCTAGTCTACACATAATATATATATATACACATATATATAATATATGCACTATATACATATCTATCTATCTATATATACACACACACATGCATATACACATATAACAGGGTGACTTGGTTGAGCTCAAAACTTAAGGGGAGATTAACCATGTGAGACCTTATAAATAATTACCCTCAAAGTTTAGCTTTACCAGTTTACCAGTTTAGCTAAACTAGATCTGTGGTTCCCAGAATTCCCTTACCATGTGGTTTAGTTAGGGTTGGTCGAATGAGGAAAATAAGAATAAGAGACGTGGAAGCTGGTACTAAAGCAGTGGCCATCGCATTCCAAAGGCAATGGGAGACAGGAGGTGCTGTTCTCATATATTCTGTGGCTCATCTGCTGGGTCACCCTGGAGCATTTGCAGAGTCCATGTATTTCTGGCTCTTGAGGTGCTGTACCTTCATTTCCTCAAAGTCTTGAGACAGATGCCCACGCATCTCAGAGATGAAAGATACCAACTCCTATAGAACACCAAAGCCATCAAGGATTGAGAGGGCCAGACACGGGACCTCGTTGATCCTTGTGTGTTCTTGTCATTATTCTTCCTCATTTAACATCCACCTTTGCCTACCAACTGCCAGCATGGCTTTCCCTTACAACCTAAGGCTCAACATCAGGTGTGGAATCAACTTTTTTCATGTGCTTAAAGGAAAAAAAAAACATTGGGATGAACAAGTGACTGCCATCACAGATTGTTGAATATAGAAAAATAAAGAATATTGTTATGATTTAGATATGAGGTGCCTCCAGAACTTCACGTGTGAGACAATGCAAGAAATTTCAGAGGTGAAATCATTGGGTTATAAGAGCCTATACATAATCAGTTCATCAATCCACAGGTGGAGATTAACTGGCCAAGGAGTGTAGGCAGGTAAGTTGTGGACAGAGGAGATGGTCACTGGGGGCTTGTCTTGGGGACTTATATTTTGTCTCTGGTGACAGAGAGCTTTCTTTCTGTTTCCTTGTAACCATGTCCTGAGCTGCTTTCCTTTGAAATGTTGTTCTGCCTCACCCTGAGTCCAGAACAATGGAGTTGGCTGCCCATGGACTGAGACCTCTGAAACTGAGTACCAATTATGCTCTTCCTCCTTTAATTGTCCTTGTCAGGTTGTTTGGTCACAGTGATAAAAAAAAGCTGACTAACACAAACATGATGAAATTGGTTGGTTGTTTTTAAGAGCACTGGAGATTGTGAAAAGAAAATGATGAGCTTAAGCTTTCAAATTCCCAGCTAAAGGATGGGAAACAGAATAGAAAACTTCAATGACCACTAAAATAAAGAGAAACTTAAAAAGAAATTTGCTGTGACTGTGGTATGTGTATTGAAGTGTGCCTGTCTGTCATGTGTATGGGAGGAGTGCAAGACTCTTATAGCTGCATTGCTGAGTTTTCTGAGAACCAAGCCCAGAGTCTAATTTTAGGAGTGGTTTATTATAATGCAAATTGAATTCCCAATCTGGAAGGCTCTTTTTGTGAGAGTTAGGTAATTGTCTGAGAAAGAGTGGGATTCTTAAAATTGGGATAGAGGTGTATGGACAGATTCTGTTGAAATTGAAGACTTGAACCCGCATATATCAACAAGTTCCTTTTGTCCCTAGAGTCAGCCCTCGTTCCTCAGCTCAGCCAGGTTGTCA